GTTTTTATATGATTGGATGAGACATTTATTTTATGGCTTCTGGATTATGAACTGTAGTTAGAAAAAGCTGCCCCTCTCCAAAATTGGAGAGGAATTTCCCCTCATTATCCTCAAGGAATTTTATGGTTTATTTTCAACATGTAAATCTTTGGTCCCTTTGGAATTTTTCCCAGTCCATGCTAAGGTGTGGAACCAGTGCCACTTTTTCCCTTTTTCCCTCTGCTCAGACCACCTCTCCTCCCACAGTCCAGGGCTGAGCAGATCACAGCATGGAAGAGATGGTGCCATTGTCCTAAGAACAGAGGGAGGGTCTCAAGATTAGATCTGCATCTTGAAAACATCACTCTCACCACAGAATGGAGACTGCAGGGGTGATTGGTCAGCACATTTGAGGCCAACTCTGATCCCAGACATATCCCCCTCATTGCTTGTGCATTTCAGCTCTTGGGTCTCTGTTCAGGACATCCCTGCACAGGTGGTTCCTTCTGCCTGGAACATATCTTCCCAGGGATCAGCACAGCCAATGCCTACACTTCTTTCAAATCTTCGCTCAAATTTCACCTTAGAATGGACCACCCCATGAAAAGCTCCAATCTGCCTGCACCCCAGCACTGACATATCTCCCTTACCATGCTTCGCTGCCTCTCTCTGCATGACACATACTGCCTTCTAGGTGATGTGCTTGTTACCATACTCACTGGATTTTGGCTGCCCCTAGTCACTAGAAGGGAAGCCTCTTAGGACAGGGACCTTCATCACCATCACTACTGTTTCTCACATGCCTAGAACACTGTCTCGAACAATGGGTACTCAGTGAATGTCTATAGGATGAGTGAAAGGGAAAATCAAGGGGGACGTTGTTGCAACAGCCCCTAGAAGCTATGTGGCATGGATTAGCTGTTGTTTGGGAGACACTTCAGTAGATAAATTCCAGAGCAGCAATACGTATGCCAATGGATTGGAAAGGGAGCAGGTTTGGGAAGGTACCCTCCCACTTGCTGATACGGTAACTGCATGAAGGGGGTGTCACTCACAAAGACCAAAAACTGGAAGAGGAGCATGTTTCTGGACAAAAGTCCGTGAGCACAGCTGTGTGCGTTTGCTTGAGAAATCTTGGGATTATTTGAGGGGAAATGTCCAGCAGTCAGCTCAGAAATGGATTCTAGGCTTCTAAGGTACAATCCTACCTGGAGATATGCATTTAGGACACTTCTGCCTGGTGTGGTCATAAGCTGGGCTGAGAATCTTGGGAATGATGGGAGAGAGGAGGTAGGTGAGCAAAGAATTGAACAGACCTAGACTAGAACCTTCAGGAGCCTCCATATGTGAGGTAGGGGGAGGAAACTAAGTCAGCTAAATAACCAGGGTGGAAAGGACATTATGGAAAGCAAGGAAAGGGGCACTTCCAGAAGGTGGGCTCAGTCAGCAGCGTGGAAGTTGAGTCCAGTGAGAAGGAGAAATATTTGTCAGTTTTATTCATGTGAAGGCAGGTCACTGGAGAATTGTTGAGAGCTGCGTTGGTGGAGTGACAGGGATGGAATCCAAACCAGCAGATTGGAAGCTAGGAAGAAGACGAGACATTAGAGACGGTGAGAGGAGTGCCCTCTCTCCAGCCACATAGCTGTGAGGGGGAGAGCTGGGGCAGAATAGCGGAGGGGTGGGAGCAAGGATTTGGAACTTGTTTCAAAGCTTAGAGAAAGATCTGCTTGAGAGGCCACCATGACAATGGCAGTGGGCAGAGAGATAAGCGGCAGGTGCAGCAGGGTCTGGGGAAGGTGGGAGCAGGTCAGTGCCTCTGACTTAACCTGCCGACTAGGCAAAAGAGGCTGGTCGCAGGCACGGTGCAGGTAGCTGTGTGTGCGTGGGGCATCGAAAAAGTGCTAGCAAGTATGCTTGGCAACCTTTCTATGCAAAACCAGAGCCAGGTCATTGGTGGACCTTGAAAATAAGAACTGTTGTGTCCAGGCTGCCTGTACTCTGCCCACCCTCAGTCTAAACATTGGGAACCTCCTCATTGAAATACCATTCTTGATTATCAGCAACATCAGACACCAGTATCTTAAGCCAAAAACCTTTGTCTCATCTCTGTCTGCCCTTCTTCTGTATCCCGTGCATGCCTGCTCCTCACCCTTCAGTCCACAAGCAAGTCCCGTCTGTCCTCACTGACAAGTGTCTCCTGCCCCTTGCTTCTCTCCATCTTCACTGCTACCACCTAGGGCCCAGCTACCATCACCCACACGGGGACAGCTGCAGTGTGCCTGGGCACCTTTCACTACCCCTCACATCACTCCTCACACTTCAGAGCACCCTGCTGCCCTTCAAATCAGGGCCCACACCCCCTGCCCCTAAGCCATGATGTAGAAACAAGGCCCTGAGTTCTGGCCCACCCTACAGTATCCTCCTTGGCTTCTCCTTGTCCCCCAACCCAGTGATCTCTGCATGCTCTGAACTTTTGCATCTCTGCCATGCTTCTCCCTCCTCCTTCCTGCCCCAGGTAATCATCCCTCACCCTCTGGGCTGAGACTGGCCTCCTGTCCTGAGTGGGCCCAGCCTGCCTGGGGCCCTTGTGGCAGTGCTGGCCTCTGTCTCTTCATGTGTGCTTCCCTCTGTCATTGTTTTCTCAGGTATCTATCCATTCAAGGACAATTCAGTGAGTCAGAGATCTTGCCTCTTCTGTTTACTTCTTCGTCCCACTGCTTGCTCCAGAGGCCCCTGGCTCTGAGAGGCAATCCATAAATACATATCTTCCTCAGTTTACCACAGGGTTATGTCCTGATAAACCCATTAGAAGTTTAAAATATCCTAAGTCAGAATGCATTGCATACACCTACCCCATGGAACACCACAGCCCGAGACACACGCAGAACCTCCCGTTAGCCCGCGCTTGGGCAAGATCATCCAACACAAAGCCTAATTTATAATAAAATGTTGAATGTCTTAGACACAGATGGGCATTTTGTAGACATGACAGCATGTGAAAACAAATCCCAAAATCACTAGCAACGCAGTAACAGAAGGGTGTGGCTTGTTCACCTGCATGATCACCAGGCTGACTGGGAGCTGCCCTCCCTGCCACTACCCAGTGTCCCAAGGATAACACACCCCAGCTCAACAGCCCAGGGGAAGATCAAAATTCAAGCTGAATGCTTGTCACTTTCACACCTTGGTAAAGTTGAAAAATCCTAAGTTGAACTCTCAAAACTCTGTATGTGTTGGCCAACTAAATAGGGTTCCTGGATCCAGTTCTATGTGGGTTTGGTGGGGGCTCCCCATGACCGCGAGCAGTTCTCAGACACCAGGAGAGTATCTCAGCACAATTCTTTTTTTTCTTTTTTTAAGATTTTATTTATTTAATTTTGTGTAAAAGAACTGAGGTGCAGGCCAGAGGTGAGGGGAGTGAGAGGATTCACCAAAGACAGAGTGTGGAGCAGAACAGGCAGATCTACTGAAATACACTGCTGAGGGGGGAGCAGTGGGCAAGACAGGAGAGGTCTGCTGCACCATGTGGCTAACTCCCTGGCCGGGGATCAAACTCATGCCGTCACGGTGGTAGCACTAAGACTTAATCCCTAGGCCACCAGGGAGGCCCCTTCGCTCAATTCTGACAATACCTGGAGAGACGTCAGATTCTACTGACTGACTGCCCGCCACCTCAATGTCACCTGTAAACTCACGTTCACCTGTGCTTCTGACCTGTTGGCTATAGATCAGCGTCTCCCAGGACCCCCTCCTCATGTTTGATTAATTTGCTGGAGCTGCTCACAGAACTCAGGAAACCCATTTAAGGATATTATTCAGGAACAGGCAGATGGAGAGGGTCGTAAAAGGGGAGCTTCCAGGCCCTATCCAGGCACATCATTCTCCCCAAGTCTTCACTTGTTCACCAACCCAAAATCACTCCAGTGCCCCATTTTGGGATTTTATAGAGGCTCCCTTTCACAGGTATAATTGATTAACTCATTGGTCATTGGTCATTGAACTCAGTCGGCAGCCCCTCTCCCCTCTCAGGAGGGAGGGGGTAGTGGGACTGGAAGTTCCAACCTTCTAATCTAATAGGTTACCCAGCTCCACTCCTTAGATGCTTCCCCAAAAGGCACCTGATTCACATAACAAGTAACACCTTCATCATTCTTAACACTTAGAATATTCCAAGACTTTTGGGGACTGTGAGTTAGTGCAGGAAGACCCAATATGTATGAGAAATAAATTTTGGTCATCTAGATATACACTAAAAAAATACACTTTTTTTCCATAAATCACAATATTGCACCCACTGGCCCACATGCGCCTCTGTGTATCCACCTCTGTCCAGACTGAGGAGGAGCTGCTGGACTGGAGGTGGTATGGCTTAGTGGGAAGCATGTGCAGGGTTTTGAGACCTTCGGGGATGAGCTCTGTCCTAACCAACTATGTGACCTTGGAGAAGTCTCTTCTTTCCCTCGGAGCCTCTGAGTGGTCATCTGTCAAATGGGATGTTCCTCACCCCTCACACAGATTGCTGGGAAGTAGTGGATATGCAGTGTGCTTTGCGAGCTGTGAGGTGAGAAGCCTGAGAGTTTCCTCTGCGTGTTCTCTGCGGGGCAGCCCCACCACATGCGGGGCCACATGCCCTCCAGTGCCCTTGGGAGCATTCTTCCCTCCCCCAGAAACCCATTTTCTCCCCTAAATCTCTTTCCTTCCATAGAAATGAACTGGCCCCTGATAAGCACCAAAATTTGTTCTCCGTGCAGGAACAAAGTCCTGTTCCCACCTGGCTTGCCCAACCCCACACTGCTGAATGCCTGCAGGAGCAGCAGCAGCCTACTGAGCCTAGACGTATGGGACTGTTATTCCCGCCTGCCTTGGCCCCACAGAGTGTAAAGGTGCCCCCTCTGCCCTGCCACTTCACCCTTCAAAGCCTTGAACAGAGGGATGACCAAGAGCTGTAAGAGGACAGGCCTGCCGGGGTGAGGGGACCCCTCTCCCTCTGATCCTGACTGTGGTTTCTCTGTGTTTTGCAGGTCCTCCAGTAAGTGCCCTGGATTATGCTCTCTGCTCCTGAAAGATAAGACATTTTATTCTCTCTCTCTCTCTCTGTCTCTGTCTCTCTCTCTCTCTCTCTCTCTCTCTCTCTCTCGTTTCCATGAAAATAATGCTTGGTTAAAGAGGTGTCTCAAAAAATGAAAAATAAAAAAAAAAAATAAATCTCAGTCAGTCCCTGCCAGAGGTCATATTTTTTTCAATTTGAGGATTAATGCCAGCACAGAGCTGCAAGGGCTTGCCTTGCCCTGTGAAGCAAAGCATTCTGTGACTGTTTTCCTCCCCAGACGGCTGGCACAAGCCTGGCTGCTCCTTGTCAAACCTTTGGGTCAGCTTTGTGTAGGGGAATGCTTGCACCATGCCCACATTTCCTAAGTACCCAAAACTGTTGCTGGGTCTAAATATTTTTGACTCATGTGCTTTGACAGAAAGGGGCTCAGGAGTCAGGCAGTTATGCCAGGGCTTGGGCTTGATCACTAGGTCCTGGGGTTCATTTGCCTTCCTCCAGTGAGGAAATGGGAATAAGCAATGCATGCAGAGCATGGTCGGGGCCCCGGAAATCCTGTCTTCTCCAAGACACAGGACGAGTCTGCCTCTGATTCATCTTGGCAGCCTTTCAGAGCCTGATAAATCCTAACGAATCAATGCAAGAAGCACATGGACAGTCCTTGTGAATCAAAGTGAACCTTCCAGAGGAATTCCTTTCAGATGAATGCTTGTACTTTTGACTTCCACCTACCATGATTCATTTCCCATCAGCACCCTATGGGACCTGGGCTTCTCCATGCCTTAGTAGTGCCACAACGAGCCAAGGAACCAGCCCATAAAAATGTGTAGATTTACAGGCCACGAGCAGTTTCTGACTGTTGAGTCATATCTGGCTGTCATTTGGAAGCTGGCCTGTGTGAACTTGCTGCAGTGTGTAATGCAGAGGGATATGGAGAGTTTTTGTGTTTTTTTGTTTTTTTTTTTGTACTTGACTGTTAAACTCAAGTCTATTAAGCAAATGCAGAATTCTCAAGCTGCAACCTGCAATGGACACTCACGTGTGGCATGGTGGCCAGGTAGCCACTGCTCCTGGCACATGGTGATTGCAGAGAAGCAGCCAATAGTCATAAGGGCCCCCCGGCCTGTGCTGTGTCTCTGGCTGCCAAGGCTGTCTTCCCAGTCACCTCATCTCACACACAACAGGCAGGAAACCTGTGTCTCCTCTTATAGTCCCTCAGTGCCACATCAAGGGAACATTTTCAGCAATGGCTGTGATGCCACCTTCAGGAACCCTACATCCCCACGTGGCCCTCACCATATGTCCCTGCTGATGCGAGGATCACACTTGTGGGTGCATGCCCTGGTGGCCCATGCAACCTGGTCCTGTGAGGCTGGAAATGGGAGCTCCATCCCCCAGATCCCTTGGAACCCCAAATTATCCCCCTGAAGAAGTCACTTACCCATCAGCAGTCTCTGCTGCAGACCAGGGAGGTTGAGGGGGGATCTGAGACCCTGGCTGAATTCTAAGTGTTGCTATATGGTTTTCTGCCGAAAGTCTGATTATTAATGACGTATTAATTACCACAGGGGCAATCGGGACGAGATGGCTACCCGGTAATTTGTCTTTTTTGTTTGTTTTCTTTGCCCTCTCTCTCAAACCAATATTCTCCCTCTAAGCTTTTATTAACTGTCTGTGCTCCTTTTTCCTCCTCTTTTTCCTCCACAGTGGCTGCCATCTCTGTGGGGAGGATTAGCATTAGCTTTATGAAGGCACAGGACAGCAGTTCTGCAGGGCCAGGGCCTAACAGGCACTGTCTGCAGCCTGCAGGTAAAGCAGAGAGGCTTTGAGAAGGAGTCTCCTTGGCATTTGAATGCACCCAACACCAATCTGTCCAGCGCGTCAGCCCAAGCCCCATGGTCCAGCCCTTGGCTGCTGGACCAAGTGGCTAGTGTCATTCCAAGTGGCTAGTGTCATTGCTTGGAAACAAGGGCCGCCTGTTGGTTCAGCATTGTAGTGTCGTCATGCCTCAGATCTTTTACAACCAAAACTAAAACTTAGCTTATACTAGGTTGAGTGACCACTCCATAAGAAGCTGTATGAAATGTGGTTGTGAAAATGTGGAGTCCTGCACAGAGGTGAGGACCCCAACTGAGACATCTAGAAGTCCTGATGCCTCAGAACAGCCTGGTGGAAGGAGAGTGTGGCGACACTGTTTTGCTGGGGAACAAATTTGTTCTGTGCTCAGGCCAGGAAGATGCAGGGAGAGAATTATTAGTTGATTCAAAGGTCTTTCTTTTGGCCAGATATGTACAGAGGCAGAACAGGCTGCATTAGTGGAGGGTGAGGCGCCGCCCGGTCCTGCCAGAGCCGGCTTCTGTGGTTCTGTGGAGGGGGCAGTCATACCCCTCAGTGAGACCTAGGCTTGGATTCCAACACTGCTGCCTGCGAGACCTCAGAAAAGGTCAGTTTCCTGCTCTGTAGAGTGCCAAAGGCCTCCTTCACAGCATTGGAGCGAGGATTCAAGGAGACTTAGGAGGTGACGGCTACGCAAAATCAGGCTCTCCAGGGCTACTTGGAATGTTTGGGGGGCATTTACCTCATGTCAAAGGCTGGGTATGGAGTAGAGTTTGGGGTCCCCCAAGCCATCAGGGCCATTCCCCCAGTGGGAGGCACTACCTCTCCAGCAGTTTTCTTGACAAGGGGGGTCAGGGAATCCTAATCAGGGCCACCAGCACTTGCTAGACTATTTTGGCCCCGTGTCTCGGGATCGTCCATTTCACCAGCCCAGGAGGAGTGGGCACTTCCTAACAGCACCTCTCCTGGGATTACCTGGTTAACATTTGCACTCAGGTTACTCTGGACTGCGTATGACATGCCCAAGGGAGAGTGGGCAGGATTCTTCTCTTCCCCTGTTTGCGTCTCCTCTAATCCCACAGTGACCACGTGTTCTTTCTTCTTAGCTGGGAGCATCAGGCTGTTTGTTGGCTGATGCAAGAATCATTTTCCTGGGGCCAGGCAGAGGTCCACCTCCCACAGAGGCCACTTCTCCCTCAGCCATCACCCAACCCTTCCTCCCAGGACAGGGGCAGGCCGAGGGTGGCCAGTAGGCTCTGTGAGCAAGCAGGCATCTGGTTGTGTGGCTAGGGGGTTAGGGGCTGAGTCCCATTTTCACCATCCACTAACTGTTAGGTCATAGGCAAGCCCCGCCTGCCCTAAGTCTCCATTTCCTTCCCTGTGAAGAGAGTTGGGGTTCAGGTGAAGTGCGATCGTGCCCTAAAAGCCCAAACCCTGAGCGTCACAGCTAGTGGGGCCATTGCAGAGATTCAGCATGTGTGAGGTGCCCCACCCAGAGGTGGGGCTCTGTGAATGTTGGGGCGGGGAGGCCAAGGGTTGGGTGGGCATGTGGAGTGTCCACTGGGTGTGGAGTTAGAAGCTTCTGGGGAAAGAAGCAGATTAGGATCCAGCAAGCCTTTCCCATTGCCTGTTTGCCCTTGACCCCTCAAGCTTCTCACCACTGGGAAGCCCTGAACAGGTCTGGCCGGGCAAGGGGTTGAGGAAAAGCTGGTATCACACCCCGATTACCCAGATCACCCCTTTTTCTGAAGTTACTCAGGTTGCATGCACTCCCTTCTTTCCACACAGATCTGGGCATCTTCCCTGACTGGGCTGGCCCAGCCTGGTGCCAGGCTCGAGTGGTTCAAGCCTGAAGAACAAGGAGCCAGCTGGCTTGTCCCACTGCCTGCCTCCAAACACCCTCACTCAAGCACTGCCACCCTTCCTTCCATTAGGTGCATAGATGGGGGTGACACCCTGCTATTGTCCCCTGAAGGAGGGAAAGCAGGCCACTCAAGTACTGAGTGTGGGAGAGATTCATGGGACCCATATGCTTTGAACTGAAATCCAGATCTATTGGCTTGTGGAAGCCCTGACTCCCAGCCTTGGGTCTATTTATAGGCGATTCCCTGTGCTCACCCCAGAGTTTAGGACAATTATGGCAACTGAGGGGCCCTGGCCATCTACAAAGTACTCATATATTGAGTTTCACGCAGAATCCTGGCTCTGCTGTGTGGGCTCCATCAGGCTCCTTGGCCTCTGGGAACCTGGCCAGAGCACACCTACAAAGTTGAGGGTTAGGTGGGCTTACGCACACTAAGTCCAAGTCCAGGGCAAATGTGGGAGTCCATGGATCAGTCACTCTCTTTGCTTATCAGTCTGTCCTGCCCACACACATTGGACAGGAAAATGGCTTTGAGAATGGTCAGTTGTCCGGAAAGGTTTTTCTGCAGCTTAGGGAGCTTCAACCTCAGGGAAGACGTTTTTCCTTTGTTCTAAAAGCATGTCATTTTCTAAAGGGAAATTAGAGTAAAAAAAAAGTGAAGCAGGACAGTGGCAGAAACTGTGCCAGCTTCCTTTTCTGGATTAATCCCGGCTGGCCCCTCCTCTAAGCAAGACCAGCTAAAAACCAGGTCCATATGTGGATCCAGTAGGGGTTGGAGGTATAGGGGCATAGGAGTCCATGTCCGTGGAGTAGGTTGTGCACTGAAAATGTTGGGAATTAACTTGTCCACAGCCTCCTTGTCCTTTCTGCTGCAAGGGGAATCATTAATAGCTCTCTTCTGATAACAAAAGCAAAAGCAAAAGCAAAAAAAAAAAGGTTTATTTAAAGCCTTCCCCAAATAGAGAAAAGCACAAAAAGGAAAAATGCAACCATCCATAATCCTACCACCCACAGACATGTCCGCTCAAATGTTTTGATATTTGTTCTCCCAGCATTTTTATGTGCAAGTTTGTTTTTATATTTATTATCTAAAACTGAGATTACAGTAAATATACTTTTTTGTAGCCTTTTTTTTTTCACTTACTAATATCATGAGATTGTTCCACATCATTAAGAATTCTTATAGGAGAGGGCCTCCCTGGTGGCACAGGCGGTTGAGCGCTGCACTGTGAAGCTGTCTGCAGCCTCTGCAGCGCGGATTCGATCCCAACCGGCAGGCAAGAATCTCGCATAATGCAGCAGACCTCTCCTGTCTCGCCCACTGCTCCCCTCAGTCAGTGTATTTCAGTCAGTCTGCCTGTTCTGCTCCCCACTCTGTCTCTGGAGAAGCCTCTCACTCTCCTGCACATCTGGCCTGTACCCCTGTTCTTGTATAAATAAGTAAATCTTAAAAAAAATTCTTATAGGATGTAATAGCTACATAGTTTTTATCATATATATCATGTATAATTTATTTAACCAGTCTTCAAGTTATATATTATTTATATTGACAGTCTTTCACCCATATAATCAACATCTTGGGAATAAATGTAGGCTTATTTCCATGGTTATCTCCTTAAAATAAATGTCTAGAAGTTGAATTGCTGGACCAAAGAGTTTGCACATGTTTAAGGCTTTTGATGTGTATTGCCAAATTGCCCTCCAGGAGTCTGTAGTAATTTACATTCCCACCAACAGCGTATGAACACCGCATGTTTCCCCAATCCCTGGCCAATTGTGGGTGTTATCAGACTTTTGTATCTATGCCAATATGATAAGCTAAAAGTATATGTGTGTATATATATATATATATATTGTTTTAATTTAGGGTGTATCTTAATTAGACATGTAGAGATGAAAATAGTTTTGATAACGTTTGTGTGGACCTCACTGCCACCTGGTGGTAGAGTGTGGAATTGTAGGTAAAGAGTTGCCAGTTTGAGAGTTTTAGTTGATCCAGGAACAAGCAGATCTCATGATATCACTAATATAGAGGGAATTTTGAGCTCAGAATATTGTGAATAAAAAGGGAATAAAGTATATTTATTTATCAGAATTTATCAGAATTTATCAGAATTTATCTGCAGATGTAATTTTTAAAAAATATTTCAAAACTAAAACCAATACCAAAAAGGTTTTGGTTTTTCTGTGTGTGTGTGTGTGTGTGTGTGTGTTTGTTTGTTTTTTTTTTTTCATTTTCAAATGGGACATGCAGAGGAGCCTTGGACATAGCACTCCTGAATTTTTGAATAGTAATCAGAATTTCTGTTGATAAAGTTATTTCCCATCTCATAAATGGAATACTGGGCTCTGTGCAACACATCAGGAATATGCCATGTCCTGTACTGCTTACTGGGTGCCACAAAGATGGATCAAACCCAGTTGGTCTTTGGGGAGATACAGGGAGGGGGACCAACACAGTCACTTTGCCATGGGCTAGAAGAAAGAGAAATAACTGTGTGTCACTGTGACCTTCCTGGAGGTTTCTAACCACAACCTTTTTATTCCCCCTTCAAATTGTGTCTTTTGTCCATAATGAAAAGACTTGTTTCACATGCAAGGCTCAGTCTTGCCTACATCTTGACTTGACTTTTGTACAGAAATTATTACACCCACTCATCATCTCTGATGTACATCAAAACCCTCATTTTTCCTCATCTTTGGTATTTTGACTTTCTGAACTCTTATTGTTGAACTCAGGTGGCTTTCCAGTATGTTTAATGCCTTGCCTTCAGAATATAACTTAAACATTTCTTGAACAAGCCCTTCTTCCAAGGGCTTGCAATTTCCATGTGTGAACATATGAGAAGTGTTAGGTTGTAAGGCACATGGAGATTACGAAACCCACCAAGTGCC